AATTTTATTGCCAGGAGAAATACATCATTATCACATTCTATTTCTTTTTTCTTTTCTTTTCAATTGTGTGTTGATTTCAATATTGCAGGGTTCATGTGAACTTTGGGCAGAAGAAATTTGCTTTTAGCCAATTTTGGCTTGAAAGTCCAGGTGTCTGCAATTTGTCTCCACTATGGATCGGTTCCCGCCTCTTATAGGGAAAGTTGCAAGACCTAGTCACAGACATCTGGTAAATCCTTAACCTCTATAGTTTACACAACGTTTTTGAAGTTTTGAAATCTTACCAAATATTTCAATTGCAGGGGATAATCCACCTGCTTTAGTGATGTGGAGCCATTTGCTGATCCTCGCCACCTCTCTCCAAATTTCCTTAAATTCTTCCTGGCTTATCCCAACCTACACCTAGTTGGATTGATCACATCATCAAATAAAGGGATCTTAAAATTTTTGTGTGAAAGTTCGATATTTGAGATTAAGACAATATTAACATTTAATTTAAAATTAATTTGACTGCTAGTAGAGTAGTTATATACATATATATATAATTTATATCACTACTAAAAATCCATTCATATTATTACGTCGGTGAAAGTGCATCCTATGTTGCTGAATGTACTTTAGCAACAAGAATCATGTTGCTAATATCTTTGTTGGAGAAGTTGTGGTCAATAATATATCAACAACAACCACGTTGTTGATTCATAGTACCTTTTCTAGTAACATACCTTTTGTTGCTAAAAGTGAAATTTCACTAACGTGATTCATGTTGTTAAAAAATTCATCAGAGTCTGTCATTGGAAATTTTTGCCATTTTCAGCAACATACTCCTTGTTGTTGAAACTATACTATTATCAACATGATTTATATTGTTAAAAATAGTTATTGAAATTATCCATCTGAATTGTGCACCTTTTTCAGCAACGTAAGTCATGTCATGAAATTATACTTTCACTGATGTGGATTATGTTGCTAAAAATTATTATCATAATCAATAATCAGAATTGTGGCACATTTTCAGCAACATGTCTCTTGTTGTTGATAATTCTGTGAACAACATAACACCATATTTTCAATAACATGATCCTCGTTGCTGATAACTAAGGAATAATAAACCCACCTACTTTCAACAACATGACTCCTATTGTTGATAACTTAATGAATAGTAAATCCACCTAGTTTCAACAACAAAACTCTTGTTATTGATAATCTAATGAATAGTAACCTCCCTTATATTTAGGAACTTATTTCTTGTTGTTAATATACTTGTCAACTATATTA